ATTGTAGACTTCCAGTAATCCCCCATTAGAAAGGTCTATAGACTCTGATTGTCCTATTTGGAAGGACTGCAGACTTTCTGTGATGCTCCTTTATGAAGGCCTATAGATTATTTGTGATTGTTCTATTTGTAAGGTCTGTAGACTGTCTGCAATATTCTATTTTGTAGGACTGCAGACTTTCTGTGATGCCCCCTTAGGAAGGTGTATAGAATATTTATGATTGTCCTATTTGGAAGGACGACAGACCTTCTGTAATATTCTATTTGGAAGGACTGTAGATCTTCAGTGGTCCCCTTCTTACGAAGGTCTATAGAATCTGTGATTGTTCTTACTTGGAAAGTCTTTAGACTCTTGTGGTTGACCTTCTAGGAAGACATGTAGGTTCTCTAATGGAAGAACTGAAAGGTCACTCCAATTCCCATGAAAGAAGAGGATTACACGTTTTTCGTACTGCCCTATTAGTGAAATTGCCATTCCAAAAGTGCTACAAAAATGCTCCTTTCTTCAAATGTACTTATATAACATGTGAGAGCTTAAATCTGCATTGTGAAATTATATTAGAAGTACAAATCCAGGACACTAATCCGTTGCAGAGGAAGATTCTTAATTATAGACGTAATATTAAGCTTTGGAGTATTTTTGCTCATTTGAATAATCCATCGGAAAAATAATGGGAATTAGCCTATTGCAGATTACTCTGCATCTCTGTTCAAGGGGTGGAGTTAGGTCCCTTAAAGTCTATTCTAATTTGAAGTGATTATAGAGGAGCAGGAGTAATGTTCTTGAGTTCAGTACCGTAATGACCCCTGCAGCCATTTTTCCCTGTAAGCATTCTGTGGACTCATATACATGCCAATACAGGGAAAGTAGTCTCACTGAAAATATTATTTGGTTACAGTTTAGCTATTTAACCTGGTATTGTAATTTAGTATTTAATTCACAGTTTTTGGTGAATAAATCCCTTAGCTATTCAATACACCTGACTTGTGACATTTTACAGGTACAAAGCTTATAGATAGGCTTTAGTGATTGAAGGGGAACCACCACTTATCTGGTAATTACACCATGAAATAAAATTCTGAAAATCACTTATAACTATTGGAAGCCTTTTCTTCATGTGAGGCTCCATTTTTCTTTAAATTTATATTAAAAACTTTAGCCAATGACATCACAATCCAGTTCAGACAAGGCACAGCCAGGGCACACATTTCAAATAAGGTGGAGAGATAGAAACATTGTTTCATTTCTCCAGTTCAGAACGATTACAGCTTAAAGGTACATTTGATATATTATCAAAACAGAGAATTGAGCAGCGAGACTGCAGGGGCATAATGCTTTTTGTTAAGCTAAAGTTGTTTTGGTGGCTGTAGTGTCCCTTTTACATCATTGTTCTGGGCTGTAGAGACCCAAGAAAAGGCAATATATACACAGCTGCTTGAGGCCATCTCTAGTGGCTGTCATACGGACAGCCACTAGGGGAACTTATTGGGTGTCATATTCAGTGTCTGTCTGCTTGCTCTATGCTGACTGTCACATGCAAACGACAGAGCTTATAACAATGATCTCACTAAATGACAGGGAGCTAAAATGGAGGCACCCAGTTGCAGGGTAAAGAGATGTGAATTACCACATTTAATTTAATTTTTCACACCTCACAAATACTCTTTTTTTAATGTAAGGATAAGTACTGATAATATAACAAATCTTAGGAAGTTAAAGTTTCCCTTTAAATGTACTTCAATGTAATATAGATATGAGATAGATTTAATGTATTTTTCCTATAGGTTGCTTTGAGAGTTTATAGTCATTAACTTGTCTTTTTCTTTTTAGACCTAGAATAGCAAGGTGTAAATTTTAGTCAGAATGCGACAGGTAGTAATTTTTCCTGTCTATTGTGGAAACCAGGTATTACTTAGCTTCTAGTGTCTCCTTTTAGTCTCTACGGGAGATGTTAAAAAATACAGCCAATTACCAGACATTAACAGTGAGAGTCTGTGGTATGGAAACAGCTAAACGTTGCTAACTTTACCGACAGCCATTTTGAGGTTTACCGATTTGCCGCTAACTGATTGCAAGCACAGAAGTGAAGCCTCTGCGAGCAGTTTAAACGTTTATTTATTGTAGCAACTAACAACCACACCAAGCTATGTCCAAACTGCTGGTTGTGATTACTAAATAAAATCCCATTGCTGGATAGCATTAAAAATACTGGTGGGATCACCCATCACAGCGTGATACAAAGTACAAAATACTCAATAGTGGAAATGTGAGCCAGAATTTTGACAGCAGTTAATCTCGGGACACAGAATGCATGGCTGTTTTGCAATAGAATAGCGGTAGATGGTAGATACTAGCTTCGTCAAACCTCACCACCTTATTGTTGCTATGACACTGAAGGCGACCATCGCTAATCCTGTGTTTCCTTACTGTACTCATCATATGCCCTCATTGGCTTATGATGACCGGACTATAAAGCCATTTTCAGATGCCACTTATCACCAGTCCACCAGCGATGCAGATCACACCACCATGATTTGCAAGCCAGGGAAGGCTAAGGCCTTGGCCCATTAACGGAACATTCCAAGCACCATAACCACTACACGAATGACATGGCACCCTGATGTAAGTAGTTAAATCATTCGCTAATGGTTTGACAACTATGTGGGGTCTATTGGCTGCTGATCACCTCCTTCATTGAGAACCAAAAGCCCCTGTATAGAGCTTTCTTTACTGCTACAGAGATACGCCTGTCTTGCACGGACTGCTCATTAGCCGCTCACTCTAAGACAATCTAGGATTCTAGATTAGAGCTGAATTATTCAAACTCTCCTGGAGGAGGTGACTGGCGCCAGTCATACCCTTGGTAAGTTGTCAAAGCACTAATAAATATTACATGGGTGTGGGGGAGGTGCCAGGACTCTCCAGGCACCATTACCATTACAGCGGTGGTTATGGTGCTTGGAATGTCCCTTTAAAATGTTATATTGTTTGAGCTCTCTTTACTATTTAGAGTTATCAATTATTTGAGCAACATATTCCATATATTTTTCTACCTCTGAAACACGATACTGGTCTCTTGTTTGCAGCAGTAGAAGCTAGATTAACATAGTATTTATGCAACTTTCTTACAGATTGAAAACAGCATGGTGCAGCCTTAAGTCCACTCAAGTCTATAAAAAAGGCTGAGCTGAAATGAAAAGTATACATTTTTAGTTTATATATAAGAGTCATATAGAATATTCGAGTATTATTCTTCTTCTTGACTGATATTCGGAGCTAGGAAATGGATTAGTATTAAAGTCCATTCTTTGCTAAGTGGTTATTTGAATGGAGCCTTAATTGCTGATATTTTCCCATGCTTGAACTGGTACAACAACTGTTTTGACTCTTGCATGAGTGCCAAGTGTCCCGATTCAGATGGGGCAGTCCCTACAGTGGAATGTCAACTTTTAAATCTTTTTTTTTTTGTTTAGCTGCTATGTATTATAGCAAGTGAGCAGAGCAGACATGGAGATAAAGGGCATTTTAGCAACAGGACCTGCTGTTAAATTTCATCACTGCCATGCATTTCAGGAAGTTTGTAATGTGGGCTTCAACCATGTAATCGAGGTTCATCCAAACCAGGACTTCAAGGTAGGTGTCCTCACAAAGGCGTCATCGATGCTGGTAATCACACCCTCTTGTTCTGTGGCACCATGAAAGAACTGGTCATGAGGACACATCGACTTTTCTACCTAAATTAATTCCCAACTACTACAAGAATAGCAACATTCTAGTCTCTTTTCTGCAATTCTCCAGACTATCAGTACGTGCTGTCTAGTGACTTACATGGACCCACAGTAACTAGAGCAAAACATTAAAGGGGTTCGGGAGAATATTGCTGAAATCAAATGCTTTTTGTTCTCTATTGTTCTACAATGTGTGGTGCTACGGTTCTTCAATTACTGTGACTGGCAGTGTCTGTGGAAAACATAATCATGGCCATCAGGGGGTTAACACGGCCTCCAATGAGAAAATGTACTTTTTAAAACAAGTCCTATTATCTTATTCAAACACTGGCATTTGAGCTATCATGTAGGAAAAGAACAGAGGGGATCAAATGCCCCAGCCTTCTCTGTAAAATTCTTTCTGAAGTCAGAGATTAAATATTCAGAGGAAGGATGGCTCTGCTCTCATCATTATTTCTCTACCAGGAAACCTCTTTCTGTTCACAGTCTGGATATGAAGAGTAAGGAACAGCCTCCATGCTTTGGATGGAGACCAGCATTGTCCTCAGTCCAAAGCAGCTAGACTGGTAAAAGTAAGGTATGGTAAGTAAAAAGGACACTATATTCACCAGTATAGTCTTGGTGCAGTGTCCTTGTCCTTTTAACTTTGCAATGTTAAACATTACAGTTTTTAGAAAACGGCAATGTTTAGATTATACAGTTAAATTCAGTAAAACTCGGTCACGTGATGGGGAAGCTTACAGGAATGCATTGAATAAACTTTTTTCCTATGGAGAAGCTTAGATACGCACTTGACTCCCACCACGTATCAAATCAAGGTAACCTGGTAGCACTGTCTAAATGATGGCCCTAAAGAAGAAAGGAAGGCCCTAGACCAGGGTTCGGCAACCTTCAGCACTCTAGATGTTATGGACTACATCTTCCCTGATGCTTTGACATTGTGGGAGATGTAGTCCACAACATCTGGAGTGCCGAAGGTTGCCTACCCCTGCCCTAGACACTCTGTAACCCTGTTTAATCTATTTCTCTGGTCCAGTTTCTAGGAGCAAGTTGTTGCAATAAGCACAATCTTCTTCCCTTGACCTGTTCGTATGAGACAGAAGCTCCCAGACAGGCTCCACCAGGATTGGTTGTGTGAGGAAATGAAGGAGTATGGAGCATTGTTTGCACACAACCACAGCAACAGGTACCATTCTGTGAGAAGCGGACATTCGGTCCCAGTTTACAAATACCTCAAACCCTGTTTTGGACACAAAGCATTTACATTCAATATAATGCTTATGCATGTGCATGCAGACTTATTAAGAACAAGGGTATAGGTACTCTGTTTTGGAATAGCAAGTTACATTTAGCATATTCCTGTTATTGTTTTTTTAATGTTTCTGGCTGTAAAACAGAATGGGAATATGTTAAAAACAAGTGTTATATTGAAAACAGATGGCAGATTTCTCATATTGAGAGTCCCAGAATTCCACAACGATGTCATGACGTCTCGCATGCATTCCTACTGATCTGCATAATAGTTTAGAGAGTGGTGTCAAAGTTTGGGGATGGTTGGATACCAAAACTAAGGGGGGGTCTCCTCAATATGGCACTGGTTCTGGTCTGGAAGTTGAAGTGTCTCTGAGAGCATGTAGCCAGGCCTCAAAAGATTGTGATGAGCCCATCACGACAAAACTCCACACAGTACTGATACAGAAATGAATGCATATCTCAAGGCAGGCAGGTAGGCAGAAAAACAGACAGACAAGCAGACAGATAGATAGGCAGACAAAGAGATGGACAGATAGATTGTGTTAAAAAAATGCTTTTATTTGAATGTACATTTATTACTCCGTCACATAAACAATCAATAACGCATGATCTCATCGAAATCTTTGCTCTTCAGAGTTTCCGTAGAACCCACCAACAGGCAGGAATCCAGGATGTTGCTATTTGTACATGGATGACTTAAAGGAAATGACTGAGTCACTGGCTTCTTTGCCTGTGCTAAAGAAAAACTACCATGATATGCTGGCCTGTGGGCAGGTGTGAAGAACACAGATCTAATAATCGTTCTTTATGTATTACACCCACCATTTGAAATATTGTGAAGAATGAGTAGACTCTAAATTCAAGTTAAAACTCAGAATTCCCACTTGGCATAAGAACTAGAATTAGAAGGATTACGATCTCACAAGGCATTAATCAAGTTACTTATTTGGAAGTCTCCTTCATTATTCACAAATGGATGGTAAATTAGGCCAAGCAAATTTATGGTTCTGGGGTCCTGTCTAACTTGGTGGCCGTCGAAGGTCACCTTACTGTTAATCCTGTTCTGGATAAGAGGCCAATGTTGAGAGGTGGGCAGAGTGGTGGAGATGCTTGCACGCAATGTAAAAATTGGCACTTGTTTTGCTTATTTCTTATTTGCTGGCATGGCTGTACTCAGAGTTCTACTCTAAAATGTTGGAGAACGGTTAACGATTTTAATGTATTAGGATGGTCTGAAATATAATAATAGTACTTGATAAATGTTTAAAAGTATTTTAGATTGTCCCTTTAGTGACCCTGAGGAGGTAGTCACTAAACGCTTTAAGTACAAACTCCAAGCACCATGAACATTTCAAATCACAAATGGTCATGGTACTTGCAGTAACCTTTTAAGGTCCTTCAAGCCTTCAAGCCTTTCTTCACCAGGAGCCCAGAACTTAGACACCAATACATGTGTAGGCTATCCTGAAATGAGGGAACATTAGTATAAATACAAATGCATCATATAAGATATAAGAACAACTACAATACAATATCATTTGCAATATAACATATAGATTTTTCATACTTTTGTGTTTTTTAAATGTTAGTGTGTTCTTTCTAGAGCTGTTGATGTTTTACTTTTGGTTATCAAGTCTTCAAAGGCTTGTCTTTTTCAGTTGCCTTTACAAACTGATGATATCACTCTAGCGTCTGATAACAATGGAATTTGAGGGATGTCTGAGGACCGTAACACTTCCAGAACTCAAGTAACAGATCAGAGATGTACTCATGAAACAAACAGGAGCACTCTGGGGTCACTATGAAAGGCCTCTCAAAGCCCAATCAAATTAAATGCATTTTTTTCCCTTTACCATTAAACTCTTGAAGTATTTATGGACAAAGGCTTGAGAATACAAACGGAAAATAGTTTTGTGATATGAACTTACTGGGAGTTTGAAGCACTTTTGTTTGTCTTCTGTTATCTCAATACAACTTTGACAAAGGAAAAAAATATCTAGCTTCAGAAAGATCGACGCACGCAGAGACAATATGTATCCAAATATTAAAAAAAATAAAAAAAATGTCTTTCTGTATGAAAACATTACATTATTTTTCAAAGTTACCAAATATTTCAAGTAAGCTGATCATTGAAAAAAAAAATCTTTATATTGTTCAAAAATGAAAGAAATATCATAAAGACGCCATAGGCATGTGAAAATGAGAGAAAGTGAGATTTCTGGGTAAATATTGTTCTGTCTAACATTATTATCTGGGTTTATTACTGTATTAGATAATTATTATCTAGTCGACAACTTACAACTTAGTTGGTTAGTCCTAAAAATTAAATAGTTTGGGAATATACCTGTCACCTTATATGTCAGTATGCCTGTGTGTGTGTGTCAATGTGTCTGTCAGTGTATGTGTCTGTGTGTTTTAGTATATCTGTCAGTGTATGTGTTTGTGTGTGTGTCAGTATATCTGTTAATGTATGTGTCTGTGTATGTATGTATGTCTGTGTGTGTGTCAGTATGTCTGCCAGTATATATTTGTGTGTAGTGACTGTGTGTGTCAGTATGTATCTGTGAATGTTTTAATGTCTGTCTGTGTGTGTATGTGCCAGTACGTCTGTCAGTGTGATTGCGGGTTGGACGTAATTGGGGGGTGAGGCAGTGGCAGGGACAGGGCCCATGGGGCCCAAGAAAATGCATTGCCCAGGGTCCTAATCATATTATAGACGGCCCTGTCCTTGTGTACTGCCCTATGGGGGTGCATGTTGGAAATGATTACTTAAAGGGACACTTACAAATTTTCAATTGTCGTCTTTTAAAAGTTTTTTACAGTTAAGAAAATATAATGATATTTTTTTAAATTATGTATATATTTTTATAAAGATAGAAAATGTCACTTTGCTGTAGGCTTTGCAGCCATTTTAGGTCAGACTCTACTGTTACCTAGCCAACTCCGGCTCAACCTAACGTTTCTCCTGCTCTGTATAAAACGGCTGCAGTAGGCACGTTGGGTTGAGCAGCAGCTGGTCACATAAACGTAGAGTCTGACCCAAAATGGTCGGTCAGCTAGATAAAAAAAAAGGGTAATTGTCTAAAAAAACAATATTCCTAATTTAAAAAAAATACATCATTACACCCTGTTCCAAATTATTATGCAAATTCTATTTAGGTGTCACAAAGATTAAATATTTTGTTTTTCAGTTTAACTCGTGGATGGCATTGTGTCTCAGGGCTCTTTTTATCACTGAAAACAATCTCGGACACCTGTGATAATTAGATAGCCAGGTGAGCCCAATTTAGGGAAAAACTACTAAAGGAGAGTGTTCCACATTATTACGCAGAGCACCATTTTCATGCAATATGTGGAAGAAAAAGGATCTCTCTGCTGACGAAAAGAGTGAAATAGTTCAATGCCGTGGACGAGGTATGAAAACATTAGATATTTCACAAAAAGTTAAGGGTGATCATCGCACTATTAATAGAGTTGTGGCTGATTCAGAGCACAGATGGGTTTGTGCAGATAAAGGCACATTGAGGAAGATTTCTGCCAGATCCATGCATCGGATCAAGAGAGCAGCTGCTGAAATACCATTACATAGCAGCAAACAGATATTTGAAGCTGCTGGTGCCTCTGGAGTCCCACGGACATCAAGGTGTAGAGTCCTCCAGAGTCTTGCAACTTTCCATTAACCTTCTATTCGGCTACGCTTAACCAATGCTCAAAAGCAGAAACGGCTGCATTGGGCAGAAAAATACATGAAGACTCATTTTCAAACAGTCCTGTTCACTGATGAGTGCAGTGCAACCCTGGATGGTCCAGATGGATGGAGTAGTGGATGGTTGGTGGATGGCCACCCTGTTCCAACAAGACTGCGACGTCAGCAAGGCGGTGGTGGAGTCATTTTTTGGGCCGGAATCATGGGAAGAGAGCTGGTTTGCCCCTTTAGGGTCCCCGAAGGTGTAAAGATGACCTCTGCAAATTATGTGGAGTTTCTGACTGACCACCTTCTTCCCTGGTACAGACGGAAGAACTATGCTTTTCGTAATAAAATCATCTTCGTGCATAACAATGCACCATCTCATGCTGCAAAGAATACCCTTGCATCAATGGCTGCTATTGGGATAAAAGGAGAGAAAGTCATGGTGTGGCCTCTGTAACAGACTGTTTTGCACACAAGAGGTTAAAAACCGTTTAGGCAATATTCCCCTTTCAGATGCACAGGCAGCTACTGCAATCACCAATCTCCCGAACTGCAAACACACGAATTCTCCAACTCCCGAACGGGAACCATACGAATCCTCCAACTCACGAACAGGAAACACACAAATGCTGTTAAACAGCCGAACAGGAAAAACCATACGAAAAGCTTACACTCCTGGCAGTTGCACTGTAACAGCATACAATCCAATTCCCCCAAGAACAAGACAACACTTTGTTTGAGGATCAAGCAGAACTGTTTTACTGGGGCTACCTGCCTGGCTTTTATGCATGTCTTCCACCTGGTGGACACTCCCCTAGGGGACCAGATGGAAAACTGGGACATATATTTGTCAGTGACCAATCACAGACACACCAGGTTAAAACACTCCCATAATGCATTATAATCCCTCCTCTCTGTCCTGGAGATAATAGGGAAGTAATCCAATTATCTCCAGGGACAGAGACAAAACTCCATTGAGCACATGTTGGTTAAAAGTCATACAAATACATACTGTTACGAATATTACATAGAACATACACATTCTACCTATCCCCAGATAGCTTAGATCTAAGTGCACATTGTTAACGAATGGCGCTCAGATCACATACATGCAGTTCAATCGCCATGGAGCCAAAGTCTTTCCCATAGTCTTTCGTTTAATGAATAGGCTCCATGGCATGGCTATCTGGGGTAATACTGTTCATACGGTTAAACTACCAAATGTACCGGCGTTCGGTAGTTTGTTCAGTAGATTCAATCTCCCAAACGCCCAGGCAGAAAGGCACGAATAAGTCTTTCTGCATGGAAAATAAAAGGTTGTTAACATGGGGCCATAGTCCAGCAGCAAGAGGTGGGCAACCAGGCTCCTCCAGTGGCCAGTGGCGAGGTTGGTTCCGCCACAGCCTCCATCCTCCCCTGACCTCAATCCTATTAAGAACCTTTGGAGCATCCTCAAGCAAAAGATCTATGAGGGTGGGAGGCAGTTTACATCCTAAAAGCAGTTCTGGGAGGCTATTCTGACATCTTGCAAACAAATTCAAGCAGAAACTGTCCAAAAACTCACAAGTTCAATGGATGCAAAAGTTAAAATGTTGTTATAAGTTTGATTGAAATAGCTTTTGATTTCAGTAAATATGCTGCAAACACAACAAATGACAATTTTTAGTTCTTTACAACCTATAAAGTGTTTTGAAACGTACTGTGCGTAATAATTTGGAACAGTGCATTGTAAGTTTTTTATGTTTAAAAAATACTGTTATCATTAGGAGGTTTGTTCAATAAAATGTGAATTGTACTCTTAATAGTTGATAACATGAGAATTATGCTGACTGTTATTTACATCAATTATTTAGGTAAATGAGAAAAATATCATTTGTATAATAATTTGGAACAGGGTGTAAGTTTAAACAGCTTCTATAAATTTAATATATTAAACAGTGAGATATGGTATTTTTAAAGCAAAATTGTAAAAGTGAGGATACAATATCTGGGACTATACATGAGTTGCATAATTTCTAAAACCAGCTATTTTGAGCTAAATGTCATAATTCCGTTATTTAACTCCCAACACTACACTGTTTAGTGAATAAAAACCAAAGTGTTTTATCTAACTGTTTAAAATGAATCAGCGCAGTTCTAACTCATGATTTCTTTGCCCTGTAGTAGCTAGCTCGTTACCAATGCAAATTCATTCAAAAAAATGAGGAATCTAATTATCGCCCTTGCACATTTTGATAGTCACTGAGTCACAGGAATAGAGGACAATTCTGTGTTTCCTTTTCACACCCAGACTGCTGATGACGTCTTTACATGTAGACGTGACAAGTGATCTGGACACCTGGTGACAAAAAGTTGAATTAATCGTGTATCACAGCAAGTTATATAAACTTTAATGTGAAACAGTGGGATTTATTCACTAAACTCAGAATTGTAGAAAATTGAAAAACAAAACACCACATTTAGGCAACATTAAAGTTGGGATAATGTCTGAATTTGTTAGCAGCTTGTCTATTCCAACCCATGTTGCCA